GTGTTTATGCACACACACCAAGTGTCCAGAAACAGAGAATTAAAAAGTACCGTCCATTGGTCTGTGCATGTGGCCTGGCTCTCCTTTAGAAATACATCAGAAGAATGAATACCAGGGAGGGAGAAGAGTTATTTAAGTTAAAAACCAATGTGGACACAAGAGAAATTGATATAAACTGGCAATCAATATGTTTGGGCTCAAATTCGGACAAAGATTTCTAATCATAAGAGAAATAAAGTTCTGAAACAGCCTTCCAAGGGGACCAGTGAGGAAGGGGAAAACCCTCACTGTCTTCCAGACCGAAGTTGAGAAGTTTATCTAGAGGATGGACGATCCGGACTGTTTACAGTGGAATGTGGCCCACCGTCAACTTCCAGTAGAAAAAATCTCCAATGGCTGAAAAGGGGATAATAGATGGGGAGAGTGCTGAGTTTCTGCAGAGGATTCTTTCCCATGCTCTGACTGATCACCGTGTTTGATGTCAGGATGGAATTTACCCCTGGGTCAGATTGGCAGAGACTCTGAGGACTTTCCACTAGGGATGTTAAATTTTGATTAATCACCTAATCAAGTAGTCTATGGAATTTCCATTGACTACTCAATTAGTTGATAAGGGGGACGCTCCCTATCCCACTGCATCTCTGCCTTTGAAATGTACAAGAGCCGCAGGCTGGAGAATGTCCAGGAAGTGGCTGGTGGCCATGTGTATGGAGTGGGCTCCCACCCCCAACTCTCAGCACTCACACCTGCCCTCCTGGATTCTCCTCCTAGACACCCCCCAGGGGACCTCATGGGCAACCAAATCCTCCCAAAGTACCCGAGGCAGGTGCCATTCCCAGCGCCATCTCTGAAACCCTCTCTCCTCTCCCCCATTCCAGGTTCTTCCCCCCACCCAGTACCTCCTCTGTTGTATAACCCCCAAATAAAAATTCTGAGTTGTTTTTACAAGCAAAAAGGCTTCTTTATTTTGTCTGCAGGGAAGGGGTGAAGGTGGAAAGGGAGGACAGGGGAAGGGAGGTGTGGGAGAGGAAAGGCATGGAGCAGAGGCAATGCAGAGGTCTTTTGTGGAAAGGCATGGGGGAGAGTTTCACAGATGGCTCTGGCTGGAACTCTACCTCAAGGACTCCCAGATGATTACAGCCCCCTCATGTGCTCACCAAATTGCACTGGTGTCCGGTTGCTCGTAAGCCCTGGCCAGCCATTCAGCCTTTGCTCCCCCACACAAATCATAGAATACTAGGACTGGAAGGGACCTCGAGAGGTCATCGAGTCCAGTTCCCTGCCTTCATACCAGAATGTCCACATCCTGGTCAACCAGGGCCTGAAGCACTAAGGATGTTAAGAAGGGGGTATTTAATCTAGTGGTCAACAGAATTTTTAATCGACTAGTCGATAAGGGAAGTCTGCCTGGCTCAGTCCCAGCTTGTGCCAGGTACAGGACCTACCCTCGCTGCAGCTCTGCAGTTTAAATGTACTAAGAGCTATGTGGGAAGGCAGTACATTTAAATTGCAGAGTCTCAGCAGGGGTACATCCCACACCAACATGAGCCGGGACTGAGCTGAGCTGCTTGCCTGGTTGGAGCAGTCTTTGTCCATGGCCAGCTCCTGTCTGCAGGGGTGGGGGATTGTGGGGGTGTCCAGTGGGGAGCTGAGCTTCCCGCCATCCCACCCTGGACAGGGATTGCTGCCATAGCAGCCTCTGCTTTCAGCCAGCCCAGGCCACTGTGGACAGTGGATGCTTCTGGAGCAGCCTCTGCCTGTGGCGGGCCTGGGCTTGCTGTGGACAGAGGCTGCTCTGCGGGATGTGGCAGCCTCCCCTACCCCCTGTGCTGCTGTCTCTGGGGGGGAGCAGGCAGCACCATGGAGACAGTGATGGGGGGAACCGGCTTTTAAGACAGCTCTCCCCAGCACCGGCTGCTGCTCCCTCCTCCCGGGGAATGCAAGTAACCAACTCAACTACCTGATAAGCCTTTGCTTACTGGGTAGTCAACTGCTCCCTTACATCATCATGCAGCACCATCGAAAAGTACCCCTTCCTGTTGTTGTGATCCAAGGCATGGTGGTCAGAGGCCAGGATGGAGATGTGGGTGCCGTCTATGCCCCCACCCCACCCCCACAGTTGGGGAAGCCCATAGTGGCAAAGGCAGTAATGACTAGGTCAACGTTCCCTAGAGTGACAACTCTGCACAACAATATGGTGTGGATGACTTTGACTACTTGCATGAGTATGGCCCCAACCATGAATTTTCCCATGCCAAACTGGTTACCCACGAAACAGCAGCTGTTCGGCATGGCGAGCTTCCACAAGGTGATGGTGACATACTCCTGCAGGGCGAAGGCGGGCCTCATGGGAGTGTCCTATGGCCTGAGGGCAGGCATGAGCCATTCACAGGCCTCCAAGAAAGGTGGCCTTCCACATGTGGAAGTTCTGGAGCCACTGCTCATCCTCCCATCGCTGCAGGACTATGCGATCCCACCAGTCGGAACTGGTCTCCCTCTTCCAGAAGCGACATTCTATGGTGTCCAGGGGATTAAGTATCATTTGCTGCACTAGAAGTGCCAGGGCCTAGGTGAAGAGGTCCCCTGGTCTGGGATGCTCTTCATGGTCTTGAATCAGTATATGGGCAGTGTAGATCAACTGCCCCATGATGTGCAGCACAAGGCCCATGAGCCTGGCACTGCTTTGCATCAGCTCTGGCACCATGATGTCAGTGCTGTGGCATCTGCAAGGGCAACCAGAGCATATAGCGTTTTTGGTGGCCCGCGAGGGGGTAGGCAGTGGAGAAGTGGTGTGTGAGAGATGCGGCTGTAGGGAGGAGCCCCTTTAAGCACGTGTGTTAGCTAGCCTCAGCAAGAAGCTACAGGAAGTGTCCACTGTCCTGGTGCCCTCCCCAGACTGCTTCCAGGGGTTCTAAATGTGATGCAGGCTTCAATCAGTGTGGACACGCTATTTCAAAATAATTCTGCACTATTTCGATGCTGCCTTGTAATGTAGACACCCTATTTCAAAATAGTTATTGTGGGAGTTATAATTTAAAATTAAGTTATTAAGAAATAATGTCCCTAGCGTACGCATACCCTATAGTAGCTACTCTTCAGAACTGGTTAGACAGTACAGAGCTAGAGGAAATGTGCATCAATGTTCAAAGATATTTTGAAAAAATTGAATTATAGTAGAACCTCAGAGTTGACCAGACAACCACACAGCTCCATTTGGAACTGAAAGAATATAATCAGGCAGCAGCAAAAACCAAAGAGGAGAAAGCAAACAAACAGTACTACAATAAAGGGAAAGCAGAATATAAAGGGAAAGCAAAATTTTATTTCTGCATAGTAAAGCCTCAAAGCTGTATCAAATCAATGTTCATTTGTAAGCTTCTGAAAGAATAACTATAATGTTTTGATCTAAGTTATGAACATTTTAGATCTATGAGGTGTTCATAACTCTGAAATTCTACTTTTGGTGGAAATAATTTTTAAAACGAGTCACAAAATTTGGCTACAAAAAACCATTAACATTATTGGGAGTTGCACAACTAAATTCTCATGCATAAGTCTGAAAACCTAGGAATGCTGCTCATCATCAGAACTGATTGGGAATATTTTTACAAAATGTTCATTCATCGTAAAACCCTACTTTCTTGACATGATAAAACTTTCCACAGGAAATGGTCTATTTCCACTTTCATTGGGAAAGTATCTTGGGTCCAACGGACAGTGCACTCATCTGGGATATGGGTTTCAGTTTCGACTCCCTGCTCCAGTGAATATTTGTATATATTTACATGAAGTTGAACAGCTTGAATAGGAGGACCCACCCAAAACAGCCAATACCCTAATGTACAGGGCACTCACCTGGGGTACAAGAAACTTTAATTCCATGTCCCTGCTTCAAATCTGAGCTTTGGAACCTGACTATTCCATGTGCCAAAAGTGAATGTCCAGATAGCTGGGTTATTGTCTATCAAGCCCTCTCTAAAAATTCCAAAAGGCCACTGTTTTGTCTGTCCCATTGCAAAATGAATTTTTGTATATATCTCCAAAGATTTTGCAGGACAGTAGAACCATTTCCTGGCTGGTTTTCGTCAGTGCGTTCTTGAGTTTTGAAACACAGCATTAGCACTTTTCTCAGGCTATTCAAAATGAGGAAGGTGTGGAGAAATAGGCCTGACAACCAATGTGATTTTTACACTTAGCTATTTCCATAAATAAATTAGATAAACATATTAATGCATTTGAAGCTTTCTGAAAACAGGAAACAGAACATTTCTCAGGACTTTTATTAAAAGAAAAGAAGACATCAAAAGAAAAGAAAAAAATGCATCAAATTCCCTTCCATAAATCTTGTAGGATTTCCATAAGTCATTTTAAAAAAATCTATACAGCACCACGAAGAAATAGACAAGATTAAACCAAAAATAATGGAAGTATAATCTTCAAGGGCAGATCCTCAGCTAGTGGATAAATTATTATAGCTCCACGGCAATCACCGGACCTATAACACTTTAAACTGTTTGAAGATCTGTTTTCTAGGGACAGTTCTCAAAGCATCATTTTCAAAAAATCCTTTCTAAAACAAATAAGAGGGGTCATGTTCACCTGAATTCTATTTATTCTCTTCTACGGTGTTGCTATTTCTTTCAGTATCCATTTGGGATGGGCTGTGTTCTCATAATAGTAAAGAAGCTACTTTTAAAGTAGTACCCTTACTATGCTCCCATTTGTGATAAAGAGCTTTGCTATGCCTCTTTCAACCAAGTGAGGCTGATCTTGGCAGTCTAAACAGCAAAAGTACACCAAATTTAACAGATGCACTACTGCAAAACTGTTACCAAACCAAATTAAACCAATATTTTAAGTCAAGTGTTTCATTAGCAAAACTGCAACAACATCTTGCAGCTTTAGCAACACAGAGAAGCTCAGAATGTTCTCTCAGGACCTATAAGCAAATGTTTGTATTTTCAAAAAATTAACAACACAGTATACTGTATCAGACTTACAAGTCGTCTTCTCTCCTCTTCTACAGCTATCAGTAGCCGGGCAAACTCTTTCAGTGACTGGGCTGTGAAACAGAAAGATCAACTCAATATTAATCTCATGAAATTCTGTTAATTTGAATGGAGCAATGATACATTTTCACAAACAGATCTACAAAGTAGGGAAGAGAGGGATAAGCTAAAGGTAAGAGCAAGGGAGAGGGCCAAGGATCCTCTTATGCCAAAAACTAGAATTCCACTCCTTTCACATCCTTAAAAACAATCAAAAGATTCTAAAATGAGGAAAAACTATTTATTACAAAGCAAGAGAGAATTCTTTAAACATAAACAAAGGAAGGCACCTCAGCAAAGAAAAATCCTTTGTTCCTTGTGTAAATGTGCAGAGAAAAGTTACTGCACAGGAGCACGGGAAATATTAAGTTAAAATGCCAGAAGTCAGAATGCAATGTTAAGTCTGCAAAAAGTCCATAATTGGATCCATTTTCTTATGGTTACAGATTGTCCTCTTTGGGTTTTTGTCCCAGTAGGTGTACTTTCTGAGGATTCATCTTGTCACAAAAGGATGGAAAGTGCAATTTAAAGGTAACATTAAGAGGGCTAGGTATGTTCACGGAAAGAAGAAATTACCTCTTCTTTCCTCCCTCCCCCAATATTAGTGTAAAAAAGTATATTAAATTCCCTGAAAAGTAGAATTACCCATTCTTCTAACCAGAGGTCATTATTGGGAAGTAAGGTCACTCTCCATTTGCCATCAACCTGGCAATGCTGGAAGTTGTGCATGAGCAATGAAGGACAGGATAGGACCCAAATGAGGGCATGTTTATAACTACCAAACATCAATTAAGTATCTTGACTGGGGAGAAAAAAAGATTTTATTGTTTTGCCCTTCAACTGTAGACTACACAGTTGGGTAATTCCAGGTACTCTCTTTTGTGAATAACAAAAAAGTTAAAAAAAAGAAGTGTCATGAAAGTTAAGCATCTTGAAATGTCACTGGTATAATGATCTAAATAAAGTCTGTTTAGAATTAACATAAATCAAAAGCTTATTTTGGAGGTAAATAGAAATATGAAAACATTAAGCTGTAAAACAGAACAACAAGGAAAACATTCCAATACTGCAGGCAATAGTCTGTCTAGGAAAGTGTCCAAATTTTGATATGCTTTTGGCAGAAGACTAGGGTAATCAGAGAAGATACATTTACATCCACTTGTGACAACACTGAACAGACAATTTTACACTTTGAGCATGTTGCAACTGGAATTTGAGAGAATAAGCTGCATACTATAAAAAGTTATTTCTATTTTCTGTTTTAATCAATTGAATCTTTATCTTTCACTTCTTCCAGATGACTTACTACCAGTAATGCATAACTGACTTCCCAAACATTTGTTTACACAAAATTTGGCTCACCTTCAGAGAAGAGATCTTTAGAAAATTTTGTTGTACCAGCTGCAGGGTTAAGAAGCAAGGACTTTGTGAGCAAGTGGTGGGAAAACTTAAAAATCCCTTTCCTTTGTTTATTCAGGTTGAACCTCCGAAATATGGGACTCTCTGGTCCAGCAACATCAGTGGTATAGCAAGGCTGCTGATGTTGCTGGACCAAAGAGCCCCAGAGACAGGAGCAGGAGTGAGCTGAAAGAGAGCAGGGGTTAGGGAGCCCCAGCTGGGCCAGCAGCGGCTGGGGAGCTCCTACCCTGGCTGAGGAAGCCCTGGCATTAGCTGTGCCAAGTGGCCAGGGAGTCCTAGAAGTGAGCCTGGCAAAGGTGGCTGGCCCCAGCTGGGGAACCCCAGTGGCAGTGGCGCTGGCCCTAGAAATAGGGTGATGTCCTGGCCAGGGAACCCTGGCAGCATCATGGCTGGTGGTGTGTGGCTGGGCGGCCCCAGCCAGGGAATCCCAGGGAACACACTGTGGCAGCACAACCAGAAGCAGCCAGGTTCTCCTGGCCAGGAACCCAGGGGACCTTGGGGCAGCAGGGTGGGGAGCCTGTGCCATGCCAGCGTTAGTGGGGCCAAGTAGCCGGGCAGGGAGACACGGAGAGAGGAGCCCGATAGTGGGGCAGCCAGCAGGGGACCACTGACTTTCCTTGGTCTGGCAAACTCCCTGATTTGGGACAGCTTAGGTCCCGAGAGTGCTGGACCAGGGAACTCCAACATGTATTATTATTTTCTAAGAACATAAAGAGCCATTAAGGATTTGCCACCAAATTCAATGGACAGCACTGCATAATTAGGACAGGTATATAATAATTGTTGAAGGTGGGTTATCCTCCTTTGAAGCATCCACTATTGGCTGCTGCAAAGACAGAATGGTGAACTTGATGAATCAATGGTTTGTCTTACACAAGACCTACATTCTTATACCCTCAGAATCTCAAAACAGAGATGAAAGTAACCTAATCCATCCCTTCCTTACAGTACTTTTTCTAGAGCTTTGTACAAGTGTAATGAGGGGGAGCATTTGAGCCTTATAATAAATTTAGTAACCACAAAGAACAGCAATTCCCACGCTCAGTTTGCAGAAGTGCCAATGGAAAAAATCATTTTGTACTTATAAACTGAGCGCAGGACTCAGTAAGGCATAGAAACATGGAATCCCACAGAGCATTTTTAAAAATCAAAGCAAAACTGACCTTTAAGCCGACAGACAAAATATCCTTTAACTGATCTGGGTGTCTCAGAACCATGCATATACACACTCTGCAGATCAGCTCCACAGACTAATATGGAAATGATAAAAAACAGTCCAAGCTTGACAATTGTACATCCAGCTAGGGGGTTTAGACACACAATTTAGTTAAATCCCCTAGTCACCTTCAAAAATATTATCCTTAGTGAATTTAAAAAGGTTTTATGCTTCTTGAAAGGTTTTATGTGTTTGATACTTTTGAATAATCCACAACTCCATCACTGAAGTCGATCGATGGGAACTTTGTATGTGTGTGTATGGGGTGGGGGGAGATTAAAGAACTCTTCCCTCTAGGCAGTTCTACCTTCTATCATCCCCTTCCCAGCCAAATGTTACAAAAAAGTTATTTGCTTTTTAGCTCCAGTATGCCTCTTTACTGGTATTCCTGAGTAAGCAAATATTTGCAAACTCTCACCATGCTGCTAAGGTGACTGTTGACATAGATCTTTTTCTAACTCAAGATCTGTCCATCCCTCCTGCAGCTTCCTACCTACTGCTTTGGCTGACCTCATTAGCTTCTCTCTGCTCCTGCTTCACCAGCTACCTGTCCTCTGTTACTGCTGCTGCCTGACTTATCTCCAACTAGGTCTCCAGTTCTTCGTGCTTTCTTTCTAGGTTCAACTGTCTCTCTTTTCTTCTCACACAAAAAGCTAACTGGCAGATGGCAAATTACAGAGGGTCAGTATTCTCATATTTATATGTCCAACAAGTTAGCACAATACCACTTTTTCCTATAAAACAGAGTAGAACTTTTTTATTCCTGGCACTGCATGTTGAACTGATTCTCCATCTATTACTAAATGATACCCTATTTTGTAGAAGGACATGAAACACTCTACATTTTATTATATATTCAGGAAACGAGGACGTACTTTATAGAACAGTTAAATTTCTAGTTCAGTCAGCAACATAAATTGTTTCCAGATTATTTCCCTGAAATAACTGGTCAGTTTTATCCATATAAGAAGTTACAGTTGCCATATTAAATTTTTACTTTTGAGCTCTATTTCTATTTTATTTTTGCTGTGGAGTCATTTTGCCAGTGACAAATTTATTTCAATTGAATAATATACAGCACCCATTGTACAGAGCACTCTATGTATCTAAGCGTCAGATCCAAACCCATTGAAATCAATGAAAGTCTTTCCATTGACTTGAGTCTTGCCCCATATTGCATTCTTCACCCCAGGATCCAAACTCCTCATAAATGGCTACGCTCACACTACAAAGGTCCATGATATTAGTACTACTTTAAAACATGGTCAAGAAGATGAAAAATGTGAGCATCTCTGATATATAGCAATGCTCACCTTTTATCCGTTCAGCCTGGGGGGCAGCATTCAATATACATAATCAGAAACTTATGGCCTCCCTATTGCCTCAGGACAACTCCTCTCTCATCCATGAAATAAATTAAATAAAAATAAGTAAAAACTGACCTCTTAGCTGTACAAAAGAAGGCATCATAATCAATAGGAGAAAGAAGAGGAAGTTACTCACCTTGTGCAGCAACAATGATTCTTTGATGTCTCTTTCTGTGGGTGCTCCACTGTAGGAGAATCTGAGCCCCTGAGCCTCTAATTCAAGATTTTAGGTAGCACTGTCCATTCAGCCTGTACATGCACTCTCCTTCTCTTGTGGTCTACCCCCAGTTCCTTCTCTACTGCAGAGCCCTGAATTGAGAATTCCAAAGTAGAGAGAACTGGAGCAGGTTGTAGAGCAATCATAAGGACACAAAATTTAAGAGAATCATCATAATGGCACAGGTGAGTAACTTCCTCTTCAAATAGCATCCTTATGGGTGCTCCATTGTAGATGACTTCACAATAATTTTGTGAGCTGGGTCTTCAGAGTCTGTTAGTGCAGAAAGCAATGTGGAGCCAAGCATGGCACTGAAGGTCGAGGCTCCAGTGAACACGTAGTGGTCTATGAAAGTCTGAGCAGAGATCCAAGTCACTACTGTATGAATTCCCAAGATAGGGACATCTTTAAAGAATGTGACCGAGGTATAGACTAAACTCATGGAGTGCATACAGACTCTGGAAGGAGAGGATAAGCTGTCCTTTAGTAAGAGTGATGAATACTAATGGAGACCTATTTGTATAATCTTTGAGCTAAAATTGCAGAACTGTTGGATCTTTTCACTGAGGAAAGAAAAAGGTTTAGGAGACCTTCTGAAGTCCTACGTCTTGTCCACATAAAACACCAGCAATCTTCTAATATCCAGTATACTAAAAATTGCCCCCCTGTTGTCTCAATGTGGGTTTATTTTGGGCGGAGGGTACGGGGAAGGGGAAGACTGAAGATGGATTTGTTAATTCAAATGAAAGGCAGAGGCCATTTTAGGGAGAAACTTGAGGTGCACCTCAGTGTTAC